TGACTGACCGTGTTGAATGGAGAAAACTTCTATTTAAGATACCTGGAACTTGAATCACAAAGACTAATACTATTCCTAAAAAAGATATTTAAAGCGGCGAAAGAGAAACGGAAAGGAAAAATAATTGACTTTTTTTTTCTCTCACATTGACTTTGAACGTTAAGAAGATTAGAGCTAAACAAGAAATTGATACTAATCCACTTTGACATTAACAGGCTATTTTTAGCTGAAAATAAAGTGTCAAAGGGATAAAGACTCTTCGATAAATTTAAAAAATTTCAAAAAGAAAGAAAGCAGAGGGGGAAAAAAGAGGGTGGAATTTGGAAAAATGGAGATCATCTGGAAGTAAAAATAATTGATAGTGGAATTTTAACAAGACTTGTAAAGGATATGTTGTAGATAATAAGATAATAAAGCCCCTGGAAAGAGAAAGTGAGAAAAGAAGCAAGAAACAGCTTTGGATTATTAGATTCCTGGAATTTTGGATGGTGGATCCTAATGAAACGAAATAAAATCAATAGAGGGTTGTTTAAAAATCTTTAAAATGGCACCACTCCTTGAAGAGCTAAAAATGATACTTAAAGAACAAAAAGAAGAAGTACAAGGGGGAAGAGGATCTTTTGGATTCGTATTTCAATTTTTAGAAATGGAGATTTTGAACTATGAAAAACAACAAGAAATGCTTGCAGAACAAGAAGGGCGGGACAAAGAAGAAGCCATCTTTAATGACCAAGCAATTTTAAGCGGGGTAAAAAAGGGAAAGGGGGGAAAGGGAGTTAAAAACTTAAGATCTGAAGCAACAACCAAAAAAAAGAGTAATTTGAAAAGTAACTATAACATTAGGAAGAAGCAGAAGAGAGGATCACAGAAGGGAAAATCAGATAGAAAAGGGAACAAAAAGGGGAGGGAGAAGAAGAGGGGGAACATGGAAAGGAAAAGAAGTTATAAAGGACAGAAACAAGATATAGAGAAACAGGAAAAACGTACAAGAATTAAAGGTATAAGCCTATTTAAAAGACACAGAGACAATGGTTAAAAATTTAACTTGAAGAGAGGATTCTGCAAGGGTACATGAGATAGCATAGTTATACTAAATAGAAAAGGGTTAGAAAATATGATAGATAATTAAAGGGACAGATAACATTTGCATTGTTACATAATGGAATATTTGTTAGTAATTAAATGAAACAAAGAGGATAAGAGAATAAGGCTCTCAATGATTTTTAAAAAGTGTATAATTGAAAAGAAACATGAAAGATTTTTAATGAAATTAATATCAGTTGACAGGATGAATTTGAATAAGAAGAATAATTTTATTGACTACTGTTAATCATTATTGTTTTGTTTTTTGTTTAAAGACAGTAATGAGTAAAATATGAAATATAGGTGATTAAAGTGAATGACAGCTGATATTATTAGGTAATGAAATGTTTGTTAAAAGATGGAAATGCTTTAAACAGAAATGTAAAAGACTGCTATCAATATTAATGGCTGAGCTGAACTCGAATAGAACAATTATTTCATTTACTATTGTTATACATATATATATACGGAGATATACACACACACGCACACACATACATATATATATACACACATACATACAAACATTTTTTTTCAAGAACTTAGTAATGTACCAAGCAGAATTTGGTTGATAATAGTTATGTGTTATAAAAATAGAGGTTAGAAAATGAATGTTATAACAGTAAAGGCATAAATTAAACTTTAAACAAGATTTGAATGGATAATAATTAAAAGATACAATGTTACACTCCGGTCTAGTAACTACAGGGGAAAATTTGTTTTATGAGAAAAGAAAATATGAAATTGTAAACAGAACAGACAAAAGTATAAAAATATTGATTAGAAAGATATTGAAAATTAGAAAAAGATATATAATTGAACTTAGAAAGGAATGAGATAATTAAAAACAAGGTTACAAAAAGCAAAGAAAGGGAAAACTATTGAGAAAATTCTGAAAGTAGTTATAAGATATGGATTAGAATACATAAGATGAATTGAGTTTATGTCTGTATGGAGAAGTGATAATCTGGGAGCATGCTGTTCTCAAAAAAAAGATATTTTATTTGTACTTGTATGTTTGTGAAAACCCAAATAAAACTTTTTAAAAAGGATGACACCGGTCCTGTAGGGACCATTCCGACAAGGGAAACACAGACCCGAGCCGCGCATGATCGCAGTCTCTGACCGTCGTCAACGGAAGCGCCACCGGAAGCCAGGAAAAACCATACTCATGTGATGTGCTTTATGAGATTTAAAGGCACTAGCTACAATTTTACTGTTGCACATCAACCAGGTTTATTTAAAAAGTACATTAAACTCTGATGTCAGGAAGTGCAATCAAACAGTCAAAAGAAAATCATATGAGATGGAGATCAAAAGCTGCAGGGAGTAAGGTAAATATCAATCCAGAATAGAGTGGAAGGGATCTTAGAGGTCTTCTAGTCCAACCCCGTTCAAGTAGGAGACCATATACCATTTCAGACAGGTCCAGTCTCTTCTTAAAAACTTCCAGTGATGAAGCACCTACAACTTCTGATAACAAGCTGTTCCGTTGGTTAATTGTCCTCAATGTGAGGAAGATACTCCTTAATTCCAGGTTATTTCTCTCCTTGTTAGTTTCCAATCATTGTTTCTTTTCTTGCCTACAGGTGTTTTGGTAAATAAATTGACCCCCTCTTCTTTGTGGCAGCCCCTCAAATAATGGAACACTGCTATCATGTCACCCCTAGTCCTTCTTTTCTCTGGACTAACCAACCCAAATCTTGCAACCGTTCTTCATATATTTTTGTCTCCAGGCCCTTAATTATCTTAGCTGTTCTTCTTTGTACTTTTTCCAAAGTCTCAACATCTTTTTTGTAGTATGGTGACCAAAATTGGATGCAGTATTCCAGGTCTCTAAATTATTGAAATCACTGATAGGATATTACTATGGTAATATATGAGGAGAAGAACATAATTAATGCTTATTTGTCCAGAATATCACTATCTCAAATCAGACAAGCTGTTTTTCATCCACTTTTCCTGTATATTTTTAAAGCATTTTTAATTAGAATGTTATAGTACAGGTAGTCCTTGACTTACAACCACAACTGAGCCAAAATTTCTGTTGTTAAGTGAATTTTTTCCTATTTTATGATATTTTTTTTGCCACAGTTGTCACTGCAGCTGTTAAATTAGTACCATTAACACTGTTGTTAAGTGAATCTGGCTTCCCCACTGAATTTGCTTGTGAGGTCACGAAACTTGATCACATGACCCAGAGATACTGCAACAGTTATAAATGAGTCAGTTGTGTCAACATCCACATTTTCATCATGTGACCATGGAGATGCTGCAATGGTTGTAAATGTGAAAAATGGTCATAACTCACTTTTTTCAGTGTCATTGTGACCTTGAATGGTCATTAAATGAACTTGTAAGTCAAGGTACAATAAAAGTATAAAAAGTGAAAAAAGAAAGAGAAAAATGAATAAAAAGGAAGAAAAACAAAATTGCCATCCTACTTTTATCTTATTCTTATCCTTCTTTCTGATTCCCAAAGCCATAAGACAGTTTTTTTCTTCTTTCAACAAAAACTCCATATAAGGCTTCCAATCTTTTAAAAGTCTTTGTCGTTTTTTCCCCTCAGCAAATTCCTCGACACATTTTGTTTTAAATCCCCACACAGTATGAGTCACTGTTGTTCATCTCTTATATTGGTTCTTAAGTTGGCAGTGGGATTATTCTTCACAAAATAATTTTAAAACGTACAGGGATAATCTGTTAAAAGAAGTACACGATGCACAAAAAAAGAAGAGCAAATTTTCGAAGTTGAATTTGCTAAGTTTATTTGCCAGATTTGTGTCTATTTGTCCAAGTCTACTGTGTTTCTCATATAATAAGGCCGGGTCTTATTTTTTTTGAGGCCCGAAAAAATGGCTAGGTCGTCTTTTCGGGGGTGACTTAATTCCTCCCCCCTTGCATCTTCGGGTGGGCGGCGATGGCTTGGATGTTGACCTCTGCGTTGGTGGGGCTCTTTGTATCGGGGTCAACGCAGGCAGCACCATATCTGGGTGTGCAACAAAAGTACTTCCTAATGGCAAGCCCCGCCACCATTCCCCCAGAACAGAACAGAACAGAATAGAATAGAACAAAGTTGGAAGGGACCTTGGAGGTCTTCTAGTCCAACCCCCTACTTAGGCAGGAAAATGTATACCATTTCAGACAAATGGTTATCCAATCTCTTCTTAAAAATTTCCAGTGTTGGAGCATTCACAACTGGAGGCAAGTTGTTCCACTGATTAACTGTTCTGTCAAGACATTTCTCCTGAGTTCTAGGTTGCTTCTCTCCTTGATTAGTCTCCATCCATTGCTTCTTGTCCTACCTTCAAGTGCTTTGGAAAATCGCTTGATCCCATCTTCTTTATGGCAACCCCTTAGATATTGGAACAAGGTTATCATGTCACCCCTAGTCTTTCTCTTCATTACACTAAAGGTAAAGGTTCCCCTCGCACATACGTGCTAATCGTTTTTAGCTCTAGGGGACGATGCTCATCTCTGTTACAAAGCCGAAGAGCCAGTGCTGTCCGAAGACGTCTCCTTGGTCATGTGGCCGGCATGACTAAAGGCCGAAGGCAAACTGAGCGCTGTTACCTTTCCACCAAAATGGTCCCTATTTTTCTACTGCTAGGTTGGCAGAAGCCGGGACAAGTAACGGGAGCTCACTCCGTTACACAGCACTAGGGATTCAGACCACCAAACTGCCGACCTTTCTGATCGACAAGTTCAGCATCTTAGCCACTGAGCCACCACGTCCCTTTTTCATTAAACTAGACATACCTATAAACTAGGCAACTGTTCTTTATATGTTCTAGCCTCCCCTAATCATCTTTGTTATTCTTCTCTGCACTTGTTCCAGAGTCTCAACATCTTTTTTACATTGTGGCAACCAAAGATAGATGCCGTATTCCAAGTGTGGCCTTACCAAGGCATTATAAAGTAGTATTAACACTTCACATGATCTTGATTTTATCCCTCTGTTAATGCAGCCTAGAACTGCGTTGGCTTTTTTGACAAGGACATTTGTGACAAGGAACCCCACAGTTTCATCAACTCCAAGATCACAAAAAGATTGAGGGTAAGCAGACAAAATGGGGTAGTGGCAGCCTCAATTTACAATTGGGAGAGAATTTCTGTTGCTAAGCTATGACAGTTGTTAAATGGATTGCACCTGGTTTAATGATCTCTTTGCCAGTTGTTAAGTGAATTGCTGTGGTTGTTAAATAAATCATGTGGTCATTAAGTAAATCCAGCTTCCCCCCTTTGAATTTGCTTGTTGGAAGATGGCTGGGAAGGCCGCAACTGGGGAATCACTTGACCCTGGGACACAGCAAACATCATAAACACATGCTGGTTGCCAAGCGCTTGAATTCAGATCCTGTGAATATGAAGATGGTTGTAAAACTGCAAAGACCAGTCATGAGTTTTTTCACTGTTGTTATAAGTTTGAATGGTTGCTAAAATAATGCTGTAAGTTGAGGACTATCTGTATATGGCAAATGAAACTGCAGGTCCTCAACAACTCCTCTTCTTCTGATTGGCAACTTTTTTCATTATTATTAAGAATAGTTCACATAAATTAAATTTTAAAATCATACTCACAGAGCTTTATTACACCTTAAAAATTGAAAGCAAGTACCTCCAGCAAGCCATACGGGATCAGTGTCAAGGTCCAGGGTTTATGCAGGAGTTCGCTCCCCTCGTATCTGCCCCCACAGTTCCACTCCATCTTCCTCTCTCGGCTTATGTTCTTCATTACTGTCAGTATTTGCGCTGACGAAGGAAGAGACCGGAGGGTCGTTTTGGAGTGGGTACATCATCTGAATCAAGGTCAAAGAGGTCACACCCGGTCTTCATAATTTGCTCCTCCAGCACTTTATGGCGCTTCATGTCTGACAGCACCTTGTCCAGGCGGGCTTCTCTTTTCTGACTCTTAGCTAACGTCCCTGGAAATTAATCACAAAACCAGGATTGGAAGATGAGGTGCATACATCATACTAACGTAATAGGCCTGTGAGGTAAAAATATAGTGCAATCCTTGCTGTTCTTACAGAGAATTGCAAAATAATTAAAAATCATGAGGAAGCAGGTGGGAGAAAACTGCCCAGCAACAGCATTTCTTTATTGGGTTAAGAAATTAACATTTTTGCTACCAATCAATAAATAAACTCAATATGTTTTTACACAGATAGTCCTTGACTTACAACCATTTGTTCAGTGACCATTCAAAGTTACGGCACTGAGAAAAGTGACTAATGACTAGTCCTTCCACCTAGGACCATTGCAGCATCCCCGGGGTCCCATGATCAAAATTTAGAATGCTTGGCAAGCGGGTGCAGCATCCCCGGGGTCACATGATCACCATTGGTGACTTTCCCAGCCAGCCTCTGACGAGCAAAGTCAATGAAGCTGGATGTCCTTCATGACCATGTGATTCACTGAACATCTGCAGGGAGCTGCTCAACAACGTTGGCCAAAAAAAAAAAAAAAAAAGTCATAAAATCAGGTGTGATTCACTTAACAACCGAATGGCTTAGCGATGGAAATTCTGGTCCCAATTGTGGAGGCAAGTCGAGGACTTCTCAGCAATGGGGGTACTTCAAAAAGTGAATGTTACAACAAAAGAGGTGATTGAAACATTTTTTTTCTGTTTAGGATCCTCTTTCTAAAAATCTACTATTTTTAATAAACCCTAGTGGGAAATGTGGGTAAAAGACATCAGACTCTGAAAATGTAACCATTTTATATACACACACGCGCGCACACACACACGTACTGGGTCAGTAATGATCCCTAGGGATTGCCTAGGCAAGCCTCTGCAGTTTTCTTGGCAAGGTTTTTCAAAAGTGTTTTGCCATTCCTAGGACCAAGAGAGTGGGACTGGCCCATGGTTATCCCGCTGGCTATACACCTAGGGTGGCACTAGAACTTCTGGTCTCCCAGTTTCTGTTCTGCTGCCTTAACCGCTCACCAAACTGGCCCCCGATAGAGTTTTCAGCGTCAATAAAACTGATTAAATGGGTATGACGTATAAAAATTATGCAAGGGAGGAAGAGTTTATTTCCTTTTCTCTCCTGCGTGAGCTAGAAGTTGGAGTCACCTAGTAAATGGTGGGAGATTCAGGACAGCTAAGAGGACGTGGTTTTTCAATCAACTCACCCTCAGAGGAGGGATGACTATCAACTTTGCATTATACAAGGATCAGACACCAAGTCATGGAGAATGACTATACTGTCAATAGCTGCTAGTCATGACCGCTGAACATGACCAGTCATGGATCTCTTTTTTTCAGTGTTGTTGTAACTTCAAACGGTTGCTAAAAGAATGGTTGTAAGTCGAGGATCTATACAGCAAGTGAAATTGGTCCTCAACAATTGTTCATCTCCAGATTTGCTAAACAAACAGTCGATCATATCTGGATACGATGATAAATATGATGGTGCAGGGTTAGAACGCAGTGTTGCAGGCTGACTCTGCTGTCTGCCAGCAGTTCGATTCTGACTGGCTCAAGGCTGACACAGCCTTCCATTCTTCTGAGGTCAGTAAAATGAGGACCCAGATTGTTGGGGGCAATATGCTGACTCTGTAGACCAGGGGTCCCCAACCACCGGTCCGCGGACCGGAACAAGTCCTACCGGGCCGCTGGTTGCTGGGCGCCGCCATCTTTTTTTGATGAAAAAGTGCTTCCGGTGAGCTTTTCCGGGTAGAAAGCCATTTCTACCCGGAAAAGCTCACCGGAAGC